ATACAGGGTGTCCCACGACGTTTCTCCCAGGTAATAACTTCGGAACACGTCATCCAATATAATTGAAAATCTGAGGATCTGGGTAACTTTTTGTGCCGCTTCTACCATTGTCATCCAATTTCACCAGTTTCGCTTCAGTTTCGGTCGAGTGACGTCAACTTTCGAATCTCAAATGTAACTCATGGTATATTATGGCATTTTTCGTTAGAAAATTAAATTACTAAATCGGCAATGCCATATTTGTTAAGGCTTTGTTAAGGAAAATGATAAAAAATTATACAGTGGAACATACAATGATGCGTTCCGAAGTTATCATTTGGGAAAAACCTCGTGGGACACCCTGTATATAACTAGTGCGGTATGAGCTTCATTACAGTCACGAGTGGGGAATATTGCGAAGACGAGGTTGTAGACCGAGTCGTGGTAATCGCACGAGTGGTGTAATGAACATTACCGTACGTGTGATGTACAACATTTTATATGCGAGCTAGATTTTTTTATATATTCGAAATGGTTTTACTTTTTCACAATAATTTAAATTTATAACTTTTTCGAATAAATGAATTTTAAAAAGTGCCGTTTTTCAATGAAAATGAGTTACGTAATGAGCTGATTACATCACTAAGTACGATAATACAACTTATCACATAACTCAAATAGGCTAAAATGAATAACGTAATAAGCTCTTACAGTGTGGGTAGTACCATAATAGTTATTTATGTATCAAGGGTACTAAGTAGATGATTATGCCCAGAGGGCGACAGTCTTACAAAGCCGAGGGCCTCTGGCCCGAGGGTTCGTAAGTCGCCCGAGGGTATATATATCTATTAGTACCCGTGGTGCATACAAATTTTTATGTCATACCAGTTGGTTGTGAATAATAAATACCTGGGAAAAAAGTGTCACTTTGCAAATTGTCATCAGTGTTCAAAATCATCATTTTTTGACAAAAATAATATGTTTATAAGCGTAAATTTATATTTTGTTAATAAAGAATAAGTTAATTGAAAACTTTTTTTTGCGTCTTTATGCCCGCGCGGGCCATAATGTGTACTTTATGCCCGCACGGGCATTAAGTAATGAATAATATAGATGGTATCTAAGGTATAAAAACACAATAATGTATTGGTATGACATAAAATAATTTATAGCTAGTTATGCCCGTATTACATTTCTGTATTTTTCCGTGTATTTATTCATGAAGTTCAGGGTGACAACCGCAAAACTTCAAACGCAACATAAATCAGTATTATGGAAAACAAAATAATGTTGGCACCCTGAACTACATGAATAAATACACGGAAAAATACGCAGATGTAATAGGGGCATTATACTACTAATAAAATAAATATCTATTTGTTGCTACTACCAAAAAAACAATGTTATAGGAACATTTCAAATATTTCCCAAAAATATCTAAAAATGCTGATATCTCAAAAACGACAAAACTTTGCATAAAGATAAATATGGTCAAACAGCTTCCAAACCGGAAAACCACCCTGTATAAATCGATTTGGTTCCCGGTGGGACACCCTGCTTAGAGTTTTTTGTCAAGGCAGATGAGGAAATAAGCAAATTCATGAAATGTGGACGTCAGGTATTTGGCTGATGTTGACCAGAGGTGATGTCTTCATTTTTTTGAATGTTACCTAAACACGCTGACTTGAGAATAAAAATGCAAGCCAGGGTCAGAATTCCCTTGGTCACAAAATAAAGCTTGCGTGATTGCCTAGGATAAAGTCCACACAGATTCCTCAATGCTCTCTTTTGGAAAACGAAGTCCTGCCGAAAATGGTATGCCGCACAAGATTCCGAAAAACAGATGTAATATCTTAAGTGGCTCTCCACATCAAACGCTTCTGGTAATAATTCCTTCCTGAATGGGATTTGACCGCCCGCACAGCATGAAACCCCGATGAAAGCCTGCCGCACAAAGCTATTATATGATAATATGACAATCAAACCGTAATCTGAAATCCACAAAGAGACCCAAACATTTCGCTGAAGTGTCAATCTCGATCACTTCATTGCCAACCGAAACCTCACCGTCTTCCTTAAAATTTAAAATATTTGTCTTGATGATACTAAAGGTGGCTCATTTGATTCACACCAATCCCTAACTGCCCTCAGTTCAACTCCAACAATATCACGAAGGTCCATGGGGCTTATTATGGGGCTCCTGTGGTGCTAGAGAATGACAATGTCATCCGCAAATGATGTTAAATGGCATTGAGAAACTGAGCGTGGATGGTGTGAAAGCTCATTAACATAACATAGCAACACTTACCCCTGCGGAATTCCAGCAATCAAGAGACTCACAGCAGACTCCTCACCCTCTTGAAACTTCACAATCTGCTGGCGCCTTGAGAGATAGGACCTAAACCATTGAAAAACTGTGCCTCTTAAATCATAGGTGTAAAGTTTCATCAGGAAAACCTCATGATCAACACAATCGAAGGCCTTCGCTGTCTCGCAGAAGACTGCCGAAGCTCATTCACTCTCATTTAAACTGAGATATACTATATTAGTGTTTCCAAGAGATAAAAAATTCCTTCATTTGTGTTCTTTGAACACTGAAATCCAAACTGAGAAGGTGAAAGGAACTGATGATGATTTCCAGCATTCTTGTTTTGGGGAGGCTTTCAATAATCTTTCTGAGTGTAGGGATTAAGGAGATCGGCCTATAGTATTACGATTGCTTTTTTCAAGAAGAGTGGAAAGTTGCCAGATTGAAAAAAAGTATAAATGGCACCAGCAAGGGCATTAATAGCAGTAGGGGCTGGGAAAGAAAAAATCTTGATAGATAATATGATCATGCCCGCTAGTTTATGTGTTTTTGATGCTACCATAACCAGACAATAGTTCATCAGCAACCACAGGCTCAAATAAGAAAGAGTCCTGCACAGGCAGGTGTTGGAGCTCATTTCCATTGGACAGACACTACGCTATTAAACAGTAATACGTGTTAATTTCATGTTTGTAATTTTAATTGTTTTTTTTTTTGGGGGCAGGGCTGCGCAGGTCGTTAATGATCTTCCAGGTTTCCCTATGCTTATTAGATGCCGCTGCCGACCTTTCATTAAAGTACGAATAATTAGCATATTTGATTGTCTTCCTGAAGATCCTCCTATATCCATTATAATGTCAAAGATATTGTGGTAGAAAAACCTTTCGAGGTCTACAGGCCCATCTCAGTCTTGACTCTTGACTGGTTTAGTATTATTCTTCCTGCCGGTTCTTCGACTTTTGTATTCCCTCCTGTTCTGTTCGCGATATTGCCAACTTCTCCTCTGTCTGGCCTTCTGGGCATTGGCCTGCATATTGTACATTCCTGATGCATTTTATTTAGTATTTTCGCTATGGCCGTTGGAGTTCCATACTAGGTTCACGATTGAGGTCACCAATAATTAGGATGTAGGGAATCCTGTCTTATAGTAAATCTTGTATGCATGACGTCTTCTGGAAGAATATTTGGATTCACGATTCACCGAACTCACGCTAAAATTTCCTAATTCGACCTCTGTTTATCGCAATCTTTATAGTGACTGCTTGTTAGTCGATATCATTATTTACTTTCACTCCCACGAATCACTAGGCTTGTTTTAAACATTATTGCTACTCCACAAGCAGCATGTGGCTGGCTTAAATGGTAGGTAGGTATGGTATGTCAGATGTCTCGTAATTCGTAATGTCTGAAGAAGATTCGATTATCATCCGTCATCCTTCATCCTGCAGATCGCCGGCGTTGGGTTGTGGCGGTTGTGCGCTGGGTATTGCCCTTTAGGTCCCACTTTTTGACTTTTGTATTGCATATTTAGCTTTCCTTCTCCGAAGATTGTGTCTTATCACTGTTAGCCTCTCCTTAGATTTTCGATATTTGATACCAACTATCTTCTCTATTTCAGTATTTCTGTGCCTGGAATTTTGGGACTACATATCGACATAGTTCTTTCTCAAAAATTTCATTAATTATTATTCTTTAAACTTTTCTTTTCCCTCTATAGGATACCTACCTTAGAGAAACCATAAAATCTACACCGAGATATTTGATTAAAACAGAATATGTGAGAGTAAAGTGATATGCATCAATTACGTCCATTATTTTTAAATTAGGTCAAGATATTAATTTATTTATTTATGTAATTTAAGTACGGGACTAAATCCTTTCTACAATTAAATGAAATCATACAAATTAGGCGCTAATACATTCACTGAACTTAAAAATAAAACACACCACTCTACTCTAATCAATATAACATTCATTATTTCCCTATGGAAAATTCTTGGTATAGGCTTTAAGTGTACCATCCACTGCATTTACCGCATACTAAGAGGTTGTATCGTTTCCAGATACAGCTAGAATATTAAAAACATGCAGTTGTGCTTTATGAGACAATAAAGAGAAAATCGAGCTTAAATTCATCGTATTCTTCGCTAGCTACATACATAACTACATGGTATTCTGCTTGTGTTGTCCTGACAACAACCAATAAGTTTGGAACTAATAGGTATGTAACTATCGAAGTATCCGATGAATAAGTGCTCGATTTTCTCTACAGTTTACAAAGCACAACTACGCGTATCGCATATTGGTCTAACCAATGCATAGTAGTAAAGCAGCTTGACAGGGAAGACTTCACAACAATCACTTCTGCATTTTTTCGAAATCCTAGAATTTTTAGCGACCTAGAGATAAGACCATTCAGAATAACGTCACAGGTCGCTCGTTGCAGTTACTGCCTTGAGTGTACCATGGCTAATGTTGTATGAGGAATTGAGGGTATTTCTTGGCTCTTTTTAATTTCCATTGCAGCATTGCAGCGCCATCTTCTAGCAGTAGATATTTTAAAAATTTCAATATCGGGAGATCTCTATAATATTGGCCTTGCTATCAGGAAGATTTTCCGGGAAAATCGGCAACGTGGCATCGACGACGGCGCGTCGTTTTCCACGATTTCCATCACACACACCGAAACGTGACGTCACTTTCAAACCGGGGCGAAGTGGTGAACACAAAATCAATCCCGAGTTCGCGAGCCGTGTTGGGAAAATCGACCACCGTATGACCTATATATAGAAAGATATGCCGCCATTGTGAAAAAAATACCCTCAGCTCCGTCCCCCTTTTTCTCTAAGTGAAAAGCCAAAATTTTTCGCGCCCTGCCACCATTCAGTTTCGGGGTAAGTCCAAAATTTTCCATTTTTTGTCGAACCGCGCGCGTTTAAATATGGTTTTTGGGGCGAGAACACTCTGTTTGGAAGAGAAGGTTTTTTTAAAATGAAAAAGCTGGTGTGTGTAAATCATTGTTTTTTTTTTTCTGTGAAAAGCTCATAGGCTGATTTGTTCAAGAATTAAGGTAGGAGATTATAAAGTATTACTTTAGAGGTTTCAAGATTTTTCCAAATGAAGGACAGTCATAGGCTTTCCCTTAAGGGTTCTAGTAAGAAAAATGTCTAATCATGTGAAGAAATGTATTTAATTCATATGGGTATTATGTAAAATAATTTATAAAAAAAAAACATTATTTTCAGTAGAATACGGAGGCTTGAAGTACCTACACAAGACAAAATGACAATCAAAATTATTGATTTATTTTTTTCATATTAATTTTTTTAAACAATAATACCTAATTAAATGGTAAAATTATTTATAAAAATCTGTTTACATTTTTGAGAAAAAAAAAACTATTATTAAAAAGCTATACGGTATGTAACAGGTTTTAATTCATAATTTGAGTGTTGGGGTTAATCAATGAATTAAGGGTTTGCTTTTAGTTTGTTGTGTGTGCATGCACTATTATAAAATGTGGGCAAGTTTTCAAATTGTAGGGGCGATTTCCCCTTTTTGTTGTGAAAATGTCGCTTCGGAAATTTTATGAGGTTGACCTGGGATTTAGCTGGAAGTTCATTATCATATTTAGTAGGTGAAAGAAACTTTCAGATTCTTACCTTACGATATATTTATTTTGGTTATTTGAGAAACTGATTTCGTTTCTTTTAATGGGTTTTGTGATAAACAAAAAGTTTTCAATTCGATGACGTACCTATATAGAAAGGTACAGTGTGTTCAATCTTGTGGTGCATGTATTCACGTATTCATATTATGTATGTATGTATTCATAAGAAAGTAAATTTCGAAAGGAATTGGGAAGGATATTAAAACATGATATGTAGTCATTTATAATTAGGATTTAAAAAAGAATAATGTATTGCATGTTCTGGATTTTCTGAAGGATTTTTAATTTTGTTGTTCGTGACATTTACAGTAAAGCCAGAAATAATTGCATTTATTATGAAGGATACTTTTTGATAAAATAAAATGTAAGATAAATGAAGATACCTATGGTTGAACCAAATCCAAGCGGCAGTAAATGACAAACTGGTCATTTTCATTACAACCTATCAAATGTCCTCCGTGCATGCGCACTAGTCCAGAGTCCAGGTAGAGCGTTTCAACCAATAGGAAGGCTGGTGTTTGTTGACAATTTAGTTTATTTAGGCTGTGGTCCGAATATAACCAGGGCTTTGGTTTCGCGGTCCGAAATTAATGAAATTACTCTGGTTCCTGGAAAAGTGGTTACTTTTGGACCTCGGTTTCCTGAAATCTGGTTAACCAAATGTCAAAATAGTTACCGGCCATCCGATGTCGGTTCTATTGGTTTTATCTGTAATTTCTGTCAATAGTTTTTTATTTCATATTAGCGTTCCCCAAGTCACCGGAATTTTCAGTAACCATCTGTCAACTGATTCGGTTGCTTTGGTTAACGTTTGGTTATATTTGGACCATATAGTCCAGGAGCTGGCGTCGAAAATATGCAAGAGTTTTCGCAAGGCTCATATTTTCAGAATGAGTAGTATTTTAGTGCTACAAAGCTAGGCTACAGTCAGCAGTTCCAGTTCCGGGACACCTGGCGCTGAGATGCGCGCAAAGGTGTATTTTTAATCAACACCTCGCAACAGTTTTCGCAAAGCTGAAAATTTGCAAAGAGCATGCGAATATAATGTAGAACCATAATTTAACAGTCAGACAAAGAAATACGGGGACACGTAGAGTCAGCGCGACTTTGAAGTGGTCAAAAAAATGACGTCACCGAAAGTGTTTTCGCATGGCTGAAATTTGGCAAGGTAATAGTAAAAACAATTTATTTATTGAAAAAAACAGTCAGACACTTCTATGTCGGGACCCCGCCAGTCAGCAGTCGATTAGAGTGATATAGGTGGTAGCGCGCGTCAATAGGCATATATCCATGTCGAATAATAATTTCACCAAAAGTGTTTTCGCATAGCTGAAATTTGGCAAGGTAATAGTAAAAACAATATATTTATTGAAAAAAACAGTCAGACACTTCTATGTTGGGACTCCCTCAGTCAGCAGTCGATTAAAGTGATATAGGTGGTAGCGCGCGTCAATAGAATTTTACTCTATATATATCCATTTCGATGAATAATTTTATTTCTATAATTTAAATTATTTGGAATCGGAAACGGTAAAATACATTTTTTTTCTCTTAATGAGTAAGTGTAAACCTGTAAGTTGCAAGCGTAAGCGCGTATACTTGAATAAGGCGTATATGCATTCGAATTCGGAAACTTCATTATGGTACTGTTAGGTCGAGATTAGGGGAAGGGAAGCGGCAGATGTGATTAGAATTTTTTTTTTTGTATTTTATAAAATCGGCGACGATTATAAGTATTTAATGAAACTTACTATAGGTATACTATCACAGTACTGCTGATTAAATGGTCAAGTAATATTTATACGAATCGGGCTTTTTTCTAACCGCAAACTTTTTAACTGCATGTACAATTTTATTTTACCGTTTCCGATTCCAAATAATTTAAATTATAAAAATAAAATTATTCATCGAAATGGATATTATATATAGAGTAAAATTCTATTCTATTCTATTTATTTTAATCGACTGCTGACTGAGGGAGTCCCGACATAGAAGTGTCTGACTGTTTTTTTCAATAAATATATTGTTTTTACTATTACCTTGCCAAATTTCAGCTATGCGAAAACACTTTTGGTGAAATTATTATTCGACATGGATATATGCCTAATGACGCGCGCTACCACCTATATCACTCTAATCGACTGCTGACTGGCGGGGTCCCGACATAGAAGTGTCTGACTGTTTTTTTTCAATAAATATATTGTTTTTACTATTACCTTGCCAAATTTCAGCTATGCGAAAACACTTTTGGTGAAATTATTATTCGACATGGATATATGCCTATTGACGCGCGCTACCACCTATATCACTCTAATCGACTGCTGACTGGCGGGGTCCCGACATAGAAGTGTCTGACTGTTTTTTTCAATAAATATATTGTTTTTACTATTACCTTGCCAAATTTCAGCTATGCGAAAACACTTTTGGTGAAATTATTATTCGACATGGATATATGCCTAATGACGCGCGCTACCACCTATATCACTCTAATCGACTGCTGACTGGCGGGGTCCCGACATAGAAGTGTCTGACTGTTTTTTTTCAATAAATATATTGTTTTTACTATTACCTTGCCAAATTTCAGCTATGCGAAAACACTTTTGGTGAAATTATTATTCGACATGGATATATGCCTATTGACGCGCGCTACCACCTATATCACTCTAATCGACTGCTGACTGGCGGGGTCCCGACATAGAAGTGTCTGACTGTTTTTTTCAATAAATATATTGTTTTTACTATTACCTTGCCAAATTTCAGCTATGCGAAAACACTTTTGGTGAAATTATTATTCGACATGGATATATGCCTAATGACGCGCGCTACCACCCATATCACTCTAATCGACTGCTGACTGGCGGGGTCCCGACATAGAAGTGTCTGACTGTTTTTTTTCAATAAATATATTGTTTTTACTATTACCTTGCCAAATTTCAGCTATGCGAAAACACTTTTGGTGAAATTATTATTCGACATGGATATATGCCTATTGACGCGCGCTACCACCTATATCACTCTAATCGACTGCTGACTGGCGGGGTCCCGACATAGAAGTGTCTGACTGTTTTTTTCAATAAATAAATTGTTTTTACTATTACCTTGCCAAATTTCAGCCATGCGAAAACACTTTCGGTGACGTCATTTTTTTGACCACTTCAAAGTCGCGCTGACTCTACGTGTCCCCGTATTTCTTTGTCTGACTGTTAAATTATGGTTCTACATTATATTCGCATGCTCTTTGCAAATTTTCAGCTTTGCGAAAACTGTTGCGAGGTGTTGATTAAAAATACACCTTTGCGCGCATCTCAGCGCCAGGTGTCCCGGAACTGGAACTGCTGACTGTAGCCTAGCTTTGTAGTACTAAAATGCTACTCATTCTGAAAATATGAGCCTTGCGAAAACTCTTGCATATTTTCGACGCCAGCTCCCCGACTAATAGCCTTAATGTCATTTACTGCCGCTTGGATATGGAAATGGTATAGACTTATAACAAAAATAATGTGTCTCGAAATGTTTTTTTTCTTTTTCTGGCTTAAGAGGCCAGCAACAAATTCAAGCGCGCGAAATTCATTCTTTGTCGCCGAGTTCAAAGTAGGACCGTGATAGACGACGTTACGGCAAATATTTCCGAGATAACGGAAGGGTGTGATCAAATTGCATGGAAGGTGAATAATAAATCCTATGGGCTTTTGTGGAGGCAAAACTAATACACCTATCATATTTAATCTAAATTAAAAAGTATACAGTTATAATAATAGTTTTATAATTTACATTGTGCTTTTTATTTAACAAATAAGAATGTGGAGAATGAAATGTGCGGAAACACAAAAATATATTACGAAGATAATAAAATTTACCTATACAAATACAGCAAAATAGATACTTGAAATGTTTACACCAAAAAAAGTGAGGTGGCGTAGTTACGAGGGTGGGAGAGATGATGTTTATTCGTTTATTACATAAAGAACTTCCAGAAAACCTAGAAAAATAATAAAAAGGAAAAGTGTTAATTTCACACATTGGTGAGATTGCTCATGAAAACTTCGGACACATCGATTTTTGATTTCAGTTGCCGTTTTTCTGATGGTAATATCATGTATACAGGGTGACCCAGAAACAAGTTGTGACAGCTAACTTTATTTTTTTAAATGAAAACATTAATTTTGAAGTGAAAACTTCTTTAGAATCGTTGGGAGTGATGTGAGACTCGATGAAACGAAAAAG